TTTTGCTGTTGATTGTCATATTATTACTGTTATACATATATATAATGAAATGTGAAATTTTGTTTTTGTTTTCATTTTTCAAACTTATATTCAATCGCGATATATAACATCGGTAGACATGTATTTTGTCTCTTTCAGATCTATATATGATATGTCACATTGTTTATTTCTCAAGTTTCGTTATTTGCAGCCAATAATATGTTGTTCAATTGTAAAAATACCACCTGATCGTAATGATCAATAACGAAAATATTTCAATATCGGTATTTATATATTCATTCTATGAGATATGTACAATGTCTTTTTTGTCTTTGACAGATGGTGTTTACTTTATCATCAATTTGAGATATCAAAAAGAACATTTTCGTGTATAAATAACATTAACTAGAAAAGTATGTGTTTATTTGATTAATGTATTTAGACTATTTTCATCGTATAGAAAGTAATTTATCATTCTCTAATCCTATTGTATGTTATCAATGTTTAAAATTGAAAGACAACTTATATAATACATCAACTAACCTTCAAACCTACTAATCTGATGAGATATATAGTTCGAGTATCCATTGATGATTATTCAAATGACCTTTTCTCTTATTATCGTGTGGTATAATAAACCAAATTGCTGTTTATCACACGCCTAACTATAAAAAGAAAGGAGGTTTGTGATAAAGGTTATGTAAGAAGAATAACCATTGTCATCAAAACAGATGAGAAAAAGCATAGAATGTATATTTAGTATATACATTCATTGTTCTATTTTCTCTTCTAATGATTTAAATATCATTGTTTATATATGTGATCGAATCTTTATTTTATTTATATAAATAAATGACAATGAACAATTGAGTCAATATTTAGTAAAGCACTAGAAAGAAATGACCGAGTTCTTTTTCTTCGATTATTTTGGGGAGATATGAGATGAAAAAAAAATGTCTTCTTTCTCATGCTATCATTCATACTCAATTTTTTTTCTTGAGGGAATTTGTCGTTATCTCTATGTATTAGATAAAAAATGCTTCTCTTACGAAATCAAACAAAAAAGATTACATTTCTTGAGTAGCAACGGTCATCAATTCGATTTCTTCTTATAAATAAACTTTCCGAGTTTTGATAGTTCAATATTCTTGAGCAATTTAAGTTATAAGAAGGAGAAAAACACGGCATGTTATTTGCATAGCAACATCTAAGAAAGAAAAAAGACAAAACAATTCTATAATAGAAATGACGAATTAACTATTATCGACTTTTTTTGTTCTTTATGAGAAAAAAAATCTGTTGCAGATGTTTTCATCTTTTTTTCCTATTTATACTGAGACAATTGATAATAATGACATTTAATGGTCTTGATATATTACATCTAAAATCAATTATTTTCCTTCGAAAATCTCTAAATCCATGATAAAACATTGATTGTTTTTTCCTAGCAATATGTATATCACTCATATTAATGTAAAAACAACTTTTTTTTTATGTCCTTTTCATGGACTCTTCAATAATTTTCCGCATAATTGTATTATTAGATAAGCAAAGTGATATGCAAAAATTATAACACGTACGATATGAAAAAACATAACTGAATATATATTTTAGTCTTTACTTGTTGCGCGATAGAATATCTTGTATAAAAAAAACAACATTCTTACATTTGATTCAATTTTAAGTTTTGTAGAAGTCATGACATCAAGTAAAATAGAATACAATTGATATTTAAAAGTTCGATTTTAAGAAGTAGTATTTCAAGGATTCATTTTCACAATCTATCAAATAGCATTGATTAAAACACTTGAACTTTAAAACCTATTTACTTCAATTCCATTAAAATTCATTTGTTATTTAGTAACCTTCTTATCAGTATGACATCTGAATGTCCTCATTTAACATCGATTAGAAATATGTTTTTATAGAATAAGAAATAAAATAAATGCCCTTGAAAATAAAACTATGTATGTGCATATATATATATCGTAGCGACGACCAGATGATCAATCTATGAGTGCATAAATGTATACTATTATTACTTCGTCTATTGTTCCTCCTCTTCTTTTACTTCTGCTCCCTCTCGTTCTCTGTTCTCACACATCTTCGTCTTTCAATGTATATAGAGCACGCGTGTTCGTTTACTTGCCTGTTTATTTGCCTTTATGTACCCTATAGTTAGTCGAAAAAAAAAGGAGAAGCAAAAGGTGTTTTATTCGCACATATAACATACGTGCAATAAGCAAATTCGACAGACATCAAATCGGGTGGATATACATATGAGATGAAGAAAAAATAACAAAGCAATATGAAATTCACGTAAGATATAAGCAATAATTAATCATTCATTAATTATCATTTATTATAAAAATATTGGATATTAGAAGTATATGGAGTTGGTAGCTTATTAGCTTTCATCTCTTTGTTGTTACATCGATCATCTGATAGAAAAAAAAAGAACAAGAGAAAAAAAGAGAAAAGAATTGGGTACAAGAAAGAGAATGAAAAAGTATGATTTCTCATATGGTAATCATCTATCCAACCTACATAGAGTAGCTCGTATATGGCAAAAAAAACAGGAGAGAAAGGAATGGGTAAACCACAAATAATAATGTTACTTGTCTTATATCCAACTAAGTCGATAGAGATTGTTATTCTACATAACGTACATTCATATACATATATATATAGACATAAATATATATATTTTTTCAGACACGATTGATTTAACATTTCAAATAGAACATTCAACTTCATTGATTTATCCTTCGATATTTATCGTTTTACAATTGATCTTCTTCCTCCTCTTCTTTACAATCAATTGACTTCTATTGAAACGGTAAAACATTTACATTATATGAAAAGAATCGGTCACGTTAGCAAATATCCATCATCATCATCATCATCTATTGAATGTGTATCATGATAGTATTATGAACTACGTATATTGTTGACGAGAAAGAGAGAGAGAGAAAAAAAAAGAAAAAGAGAAGAGCAAAGCCTTAAGCGAATTCTTTCTTTTTCTTTTGTGTAGTGCCATTCGTCCGAACATGTATGATGAAAGCAGAATACATCCTGCTGTTGCTTCTGCTATAAGCAATATTAAACAACAATATATATATTATATTATATATATTACTATTTTTGATAAAAGCTTTAACACCTATTATTTCGTGTTTCGTATAAACGTATGACTTCTTCTTCTTCTTCTTTTCTTTCTACACTTTTTTTTTCATATTGGCAAACGTGTACATGTGTTGCCTTCACTCTACAAACACAGCTGGTAATTGTCAAGTCGAGTATACTTTAAACTTTTAGTTTTTATTAGCTATCGATTCTTTCATTCTTCTATTGGTGAATATATATTTTTTTTATTTTGTTTGCAATGAAAAAGAAATTTTTTTCTATTCATTTATTTTGAACAAAAGAAGCATATATAATTGCTTCTTAAAGACAATGAAATTTAACATACTTTCAGTTATATAAAGAATAAGTTAGCTTTTCATTAGATGATCTAATCGATCTAATTAGCGTAGAAATAAATAACCAAGGATTATTGTAATTAATGTATGTATATATATATATTGTTATTTCTTATAAAGACCTAGAATAACTCTTTCCTCTTTCCTTTTGTTCATTAGTTCGAAATTCAAAGACTATTTCTTTATATATATGCCATATATATATATTTCATCGTCAGTAAGAATAACAACAAAAAACAAACGTCGTTATCGTTATATCTCAAGGCTAATTTAGGCCATGTGAGCAAATGAAAACAGATAGAAAAAAAAATATGGCAATTTCACTGTCGTTTTATCTGGATGACGAAAACGAAGAGATAAATTGTGTCTTACTAATTGGAGAATGTGTGTAGATAGAAATGGAAAGAATCGTTCAGTCAGCCGACGACAATAGTATTCGTTTGTCGTCGTCATTTTTGCCCATATACAAAAGAGGGGAGAGAGAGAGAGAGGGACATAAAGAGAAATCTGATGATGCATTTGACGGTACGTCTAACGAAGAATGATGTGTTTGTTACGACGACCGCACGTAACAACGACGCGAGTGTCTATTGTATGCTCCCTCTCTCTCTCTCACTCACTTTATCATCGAACAAATGTGAGGTGACGTCTTACAGTCATTCGCACACTCGCATCACTTTTTTTTCTTTTTCTCTTTCTTTCTTCTTTGTTCATCATATTAAAATATAAGATTTGTTTTTTTCTAGTATTAATCTCATCGACAAAAGACAACAATGAGTTATTGAACATTTTCAATTGACATTATTAATCTTTCTAAAGGTGAGAGAATAAAAATAAAAATAAAGAAAGATGCAAATAAAGTAAAAAAATAAGACAGAAACATTAGGCATTATCAGTAGTGATTGTTGTTGTTATTACTACTGTAAGTTATTACTAAAGCAGCAATGCTTAGTGCAATAAAAACAGGAAAGAAACACGAGTCGCCGAACGAGAAAAAAAAAGAAAATTAGTCCATCAGTTTCTAAACAGAAACCACACACGACTATTAAAGAGAAAACCCAAAAATAAGAAGAAGAAGAAGAAAAAGAAAGAGAGAAACGGAGAAGGAGACTACAGTCAGTCATTTCTATTCAATACTCGATTGCTCATTTACGATGGATGACAACTAATACTCGTGAGCATTAAATGATTTTTCTTTCTATCTAAGTTGTTTTTCTTTCTATGAGCAGAAATGAATATTATTTGATCTGACACCTTCTACATCAAATAGAATACTTAGAGGTATGTAAAAACAAAATAAATTAAGAATAGTTTCTTATATATACTTGAAAACATTGCTTCAAAGTGCTTTTTAATATTGTCCTTCGTGAAAATAGATTGATGATATATATTAAAAGCTAAACTATGTGATTTTCTATCGATACATGTATATAACTATACAATAAGTATAATTAACTATTTTGATCACGCAAGAGTTACATGAGGAAGAAAAAGAAGCATCATAAACCAAATTATGTCTCATAGGATTGTCCAGTGTTATTATAATTTGATATAAAATAATCTAATTTATTGATATAGTTTAGTTTTTCATCTGATAGAATTAATAAAAACAAGAATGAATTTGATATTTTACAAAGTATTATTTATTTCTCTTCGAATAACCCTGTAAATATGTTAAGAACACATTCTGTTTCTGTTATGCAAAATATATATATATATATATATATAAATCATCAAATAATCACACATGTGATAAATAAATGACCTGGTTATTTTTTCTTCCTTACCCAAATTTCTTCTTCTAGTTCTTTCGTATTAGTCAAATACATCATGCACATTGTAGAATTTTTATTTTTTCATAAGAGAATATCTAGCAAAATATTATGTTTTGAATCAAGTTACTTTATTCTGTCGAAAATAGAAGAGAAAAAGTACATATTATCGATTATTTTTATTAAATATCGTGGTAAGAAGTGGTCGTATACTCTGCGGCTAAAAGACACCTGGATGCATAGACAAGTAAACATTATATTGTTTTTTGATGTATACTCCTTTTGGCAAGTCGAGCAGTTTATTTTAGAAAACTTGTGACTATGTTTTCGTATACTTGTTTGAAAATCTATGATGAAATGATTCTGTCTCTTTGAATTATATGACCCTATAAAAAGGACAACTAATATAGTATCTTTTTTTATATATTTAGAGAACTCGTGAATAGCGTGGAATGTTCTATTTTTTAATTCAAATTCACAATATTAGTAATGGTTTTCGATACTTCCTCACCACCGGCTAGCTCATCTTCAAACGATCGAGTTGTATCATACGATCGTATGTTCAATTCATCACTTTCTTCAACCATCGAACTTCCATTGTCCGATGAACGTGAAATATCACAAATTGAAGAAGCAAATAAACATCATCAACCATCAAAATGGAAGATGATGTCAAAACGACGGCCAAGTTGTGCAAATGATATGTATGCAACAGCTAGTCGTTATCATCGATTAAAACCGACTACAACAATAAATCAATTAGCAACATCCGAAGAAACTTTAACATCTAATTCACAATTTTATTCATCTTATGATAAATGTCATAATAAATTTTCTAATGATAATACAAAATATTTTACAAATCAATCCGGATTAATAACAACACGTCGTTCAACAACTGATTGTAATGATTTAACCAATATTAATCGACGACCATTAGAACAAAAAAATAATACATTATTAACAATTGTCGATGAAGAATCAAGAGATTCTATTTGGCCATCTTCAAGTAATAAACGAAACAAAAAAAGAACTAATTTAATAAATAATATTCTTATATATATATATTTAGATAATCATCATTTATTAGTGCCTGTTTCAGGATCTTCTCATGCTCCTGAATCATCATCTTCTTTATCTATGTTTTATTCTGATTCATCGAGAACTCCATGTTCATCAATATCGTCTTTCAATTCACGTTCGAACAGTAATGATCATAATACATCACCATCATCATCTCAATATTCATCGTCAATTTCATATTATCATAATATATCTGAAACACCACAAAATCTTTCATCGGGTTATGAATCAAATATTCCAACATCAGATTCATCAATAAATTCAATATCTGATCATTTATTTCTTTCATCACCAGATTCTATCATTATGCCTCCACCTCCAGTTCCATCTCCAAAACTTCCAATAAATTCTGATCGTAATCTTGTTGAACAATTTATTGATTTACATCTTCAAAAACAAACATCATTTGATCAAGAAATTGTTTATTCTCCTCCATCTTCATTTAGTTCAACATCAAGTTCATTTTTATCTCAAGCACCCATATCAACAATAAATTCTCCTATTTGTTGCCGTAAATGTGTTAATAATGATGATAAAAATCAATTATCAAGTGATACAGAAGATGATTCACAATCAACAACAATCACAACTAATTTAGTACCTTCACAACAACAAAATAAACGACCTCGAAGTTTACCTATTGCTATACAACAACCGAAAGGTGTAACAATTGATAATAATAATAAAAATAGTCATAATCATGACGACGATGATGATGATGACGATGAATCTGATAATAGTCTACATAATTCATTACCTTGTCATTGTTCAATAGTTTCATCTCGAAAGAAACGTTTTCGTACATCTGAATTTAATCATCAACCCATATTAAATCCAGCTACATCAGCAAATGGATTATTTTCCGAAAATACTTTAATTACAACAACAGCTGATAAATTACATATTGATTTAAAAGATATCGATGATCAATCGACTAATGAACAATCAACAATGAAACAACAAAAAAATTCTTTAGAACATTTTATTATGAGTCCAACAGATAAAGTTAAAGTACAAATGAAATATCCATCATTAAATAATGATAAAGAAAGTGATGTAAGAAGTGTAAGTAATACGTTTTTTTTAAAAAAAGAAACATATCATCGATAAAAATTATCATTATATTTAGAATGAATTAAAAATATCTCAACCTGAAGATATCGATTTTAAACGATCGAAACAAAAAGCAATTCGTGTACTTTATCAAAATCGACTTAATCTAAACAGTATTCAATCTCCGGTGCCACGTCAAGTAAATTAATACGAATTTCTTTTCAATAATTATTAGATTATACTTTTTCAGAATAAAAATATACTTCCAACGAGAACAGCAGCAACTCATTGTGATTCTCCTTTAGCTAAACGAACTGTTAATCCACGTCTATTTCGAAAGTATGATTATAATAAACACAATCATATTAAATTCATTGTATTCTTTTTAGTGTCCTTTCATGTAGTGTATTTGAAGCTGATGATGAACATGAAGTAGTTTCATCGACAACTATTGCTAATCAAGCCGGTGTTAATGGGACACGTGAAAAGTCTCATATTGAATCATTCAATTGTTTACGTAGCAATTTTACCGTAATTTTTTTTTTTTTGTTTTTTCAAATTCAAATTCAAATTCGTATTATTTAAAGGAATCATTATTACATGGAAAAATTCTTCCTTGTGGTATACTTGATGGGTTTACAGTTAAATTAGGTGCAAGTGGACTTTTTATGCCCAAACAAGTTGTTTTACCTGTGACGACATTTTGGTTTAATGTATCTGAACATCAAGCAGCATCGCCTTATCTCGTATATATATATAGAAATTTTTCTTTTCATTTCAATTAAATATTATTCTTTAGGGTTATATTAATTTACAATGCTTACCAAAACGTGGCTATCATACTCCAACAAAAGGCACAATAACATTAGCCTTATTAAATCCAAATGGAACAGCTGTTCATTTATTTTTAATATTATATGATTTAAGTGATATGCCACCTGATCATCGAACATTTATTCGTCAACGAATTGTTGTCATGCCAGAGAATACTGATGATAATATAAAAAATAAACAATCATCATCATCAAAAGGAAATCTCAGATATTTAGCTCATATTCGGTATGAAATTCTTTTTCTTCGTTTTAAATTTTGAAAATTCATATTTTGTTTTTTTGAAAAATAGTTTTGTAACATCACAAACGGGCAAACTTTATATGCATTCCGATATACGATTAATATTTGCACGTAATAAACTTGATTATGATGAGCGAACAGCAGGCGGCAAAGCACAACTAGTGACATTAACAGATACACCAACGCCAAAATATTGGTCACGAAAATAGGGCAATAAAATTTCTAGACAAGCCTGATTGTATTTATATTTATTTATTTATTATTACATTCTGTTTTCCTTTTCATTTCGTTTACTTTTTTTCTGTTTTTCTTTTTCTTTTGCGATTTCGTTTTTCTTGTTCATTTGCGTTTATGTTCCTTTGTTATCTGCTTTCATAATTTTGGTTCCTTTTCGCGTACAGTAACACTTAGTAACATATCAGAAAACTGATTGGAAGTTTTCTATTCGTTACAAGTCCTTTAATTGGCTTTTTTATCCCTAAGAGTTCATTCTATTTCAATAGTCATCAGAATCATATGTAGAGTAACAAAAAAAAACAGAGCGTAATATTGTTTTTCTTCTTTTTGTTCTGTGAATTCCATCCTTAATATTACGTAGAATAAGAATATCATTTTTTAAAGCTAAATCATTATCATTTGAAAAAAATATATATTATGTGATTTTTATCTTCAAAAAAAAGATTAATAATCTTATTTTAGAAGCTATTCAATATAAATATTTTTGTAACTAACTCAAAGTATTCGGAATTGAAGCATTTTCAGTTTAAATAATATCTAAAGATATCAACATTCAGTTGAATCTGAAACAATTGATAAGCTGCTGAATTGTAATCGTTCGGCCTTGATATGATTATTCAAAATGTCTTCTGTGATACAGTATATGTCTAACGAAGCTGACTGTAAATAGTAATATCTATCGTACTTTGTGTATTATGAAGTATTCCATATAATTGTAAAAGCATGTTAACCTATTCTCTTTCTCGTAGAAAAGAGCACAGCAGAAATAAATTGTTTGCTTGTGTTGTATCCGCAGGGTCAAAAAAACATCGAAAACTGATTTTTCGAAAAAGACATTTCTAGAGGTATTTCGATGCGGGGAGTTCGAATTTGAAGTCTCTTGGGTGACGAGAGGTGAAGGATCAGAAAACATCGAAAATCGATTTTTCACGGTTTTCATTTATTTTTCCAATAAATGTGAAGACAATGGATTTCTACGAGAAAGAGCTAAGCGAGTCGTCGGACGAGCGTTACTTGTTTACAATAGTTAATTATATAGAAAAAATTATCAGGATATAGTACCTACTAATAAATAATAAGATAATTTGATTAACACTATTTATTTACATATAAAAATCAATTAGCTCATATTTATTGTTTTTAATAGTGCACTTTATTATATTTTACTATACAGAAGCTCATTTAATGCAATTCATGAATGTTAGAAGTATAAATAGCTCAAATCATCTAAGCAATGGAAAAAATTTTCATTTATTGATGAACGGAAAATCGACATCAGTTTTATTTTACCACATCTTCAAACAAAACAAAAACCAAAAATTAGTTCAAAATTGTTGAAATCTATTAGAAGAAAATGTTGTACATAAACGAACTTGCGATCTTATTTCGTCATGTTAATCGTTAAGTTCACTATGGTCACAGAACTCCATAGGAGTAAATGCTGCAAAGAAGGAAAGAAAAACAAAACAGAATAAACAAAAAGAAAAAAAGGAACAAGAATATAGTAATAACAAATAATATGCTATATCATTGTTGAGCAAACACACATACATGAAAAAAAAATAGACAATTGGCTTTTGTTGCCTATATACAAATAATAAATTATTGCCAATGAGTCCTTCCACGTTGTCCATAATTTGATGATAGCCAATGATTCTGTTGATATTGCGGAGCATAAGATGATGAAGACGATGATGGCGGTTGCTGTGCAGGATAATATCCTGTTGGTGGACGAATAAATGCTGGTGTAGATGATCCTGATTGTGAAGAATAATTTGTTGAAGATTTTACTTTTTGTTGTGTTTGTTTATTTTCATGTGTGTCTTGACTCTTTCGTTTATTTGCATTTGCTGTTGTTGATGTTGTTGTTGTTGTTGATGAATTATTTAATAAAGTTATTTGTTGTTCAAGTTTACTTTTTTCTCTTGTATGATGTTCAAGTAATGTCATATTTTTTGATGGAATTATTTGTGTTTGATTTAAATCTTCCATATCAATTAATAGTGTATCTGATGGTAATTCTTTTTCATCATAATACATTTGTACAAGTTGAAGAAAATCTAATTCATGTGTACGTGGTACACGTGCTAATGGTTTTAATTGACTTTGTAAATATGGATATATACTTAAAACATCATTCAATGGAATATATGAATGATTACTTGAACAAACAAATGGTACTGTACGATATGTTATATATAATGAACCACCACGTAAAGCTAAAACAGTTTTATATTGTCGATTTATTTTTGATGTTGGATTATCTTTTGGTAAGATTTTTACATAGACAAGATTTTTTGTTCCAACTAATACATGATATACATTAATTAAGGGTGCATTTTCAAGTATTTCTTCGTTATTTATTTTACAATCACGTATCATACGATTCATTAATGTTATATCAGCTAATGTTGCACGTGTTAATGTTGGACGTAATTCATCAGCATCAAGAATTTTACATGAAACAAGTACTTGATATGGTATAAGACGTTGACGATTTTTTATTATAAATGGTAGAAAAACATTATTGATTTGTACCCAACCACTACCATCAACTTTAGCATTATATAATGAAGTTGGACAAAGTTCAGGTGGAATCGAAAGACTAGGTTGATTTGATGATGGAGGTGGTGTTGGATATGTTGAGGTCACACCTAGAAAAGAAAATTGTAGGATATTTTAAACTTTTGTTAACTAATTTATTGAAAATTTATAATTCTATCAAAGACGTTATTTCTAACTACATACCTAGTGGTGATATGAGATTAGGTTTAACTTGTACATTGGATCCAAATCGAGATAATGAATCATTTGATGATTGTGATGTTGTATGACCATTGTTTAATGTTGTAGAGTTAGATGATTTTGTTGTTTGTGATGATGATGTAGAATTAGTTGGAAGAGTTGGAGGTTTAGCGAGTATAGGTTTCACCGGGCTTGTTTTCGTTGTTGTTGTTGTTGTTGTTGTTGTTGGTTGCGGTACAGATGGCATTAAAGATTTTGCTGATGGAGGTAACACATAAGATGTATGAATACTTGGTATAGATGGTGCTCCTGTTTTCTTTCCTGTCGTTGGACGAACATTACTAGAAGAAGATAGATTTGAACGAGCAGATTCTTGAACACGACGAATAAAATCAAGTAAATCTTCATATTCAATTAGCTGATCATTTCCACTTGTAATGCGCATATGCAATGTATCATTAAGATGAAAATCAAGAATTTTTTGCATAAGTTCAACTTCATATGAAGTTAAAGTATAAGTACGAAGTGGTGGATGAGCGTTGGAAAAATATGGTGATAATTGTTTCCATCGATCAGATTGTGCTAAAACTTGTTCAACATAACGCTTGACAACAAAACGATCAAAACCATAGGTACCGGGACTAAAAGAAATGAATACATATATATTTAACAAGTAGATAATTTAATGAATGTGCTTCAGAAATAAATTACATAGTATTGTCATGTTTTTTTTATATAAGATAAAGATCTTTTTCCAATTTGTACATACCGAAAAAGAACAGCAAATGGTTGGTTCTCCCATTGTTCCCACGCAAATTGTTTAAAACGGCTCGGTTCATCTGTTAAATCACTTGAACGATGCATTCACCTATTGTTTTTAAGAAACATAGTTACAGATAGAACAGATATAAATACAATCAATAACACTCACTGTTTTCTTTTTATGTTCTAAAATTTCTTATTGATATTTAAAAATAAATCACAGTACACGTGCAGATGGCATTATAAATCCAATTCAATTTTGTTCGCTTAGTCTTTTGAAATATTTTAGAACAGAAAAACACATATGATTCGAATATTTATAAACAATCAGTTTTATTTTATGTTCTCTAGATTTTGTTTGGTTGCAATTAAATACAGAACAGATGAAAAAGTTCGAATAAAAGAATTTATTTAAACTCTGTCGACAACCAACCTGCGTGACCGTTCGAAATTATAACGAACAACTTTTCTCCAAAACTTCTATTTCATTGGCGTGAATTGACATTTCGAAAGTCATCTATGCATTTATTATAGATGTCATTAGCAAGTAATAAATTCTTATTTGCTGTGTACATATCTGCATGTCTAATCACACGAAAAAAACGTGGCAACAAAATGATTTTGCTTGATAAGGAAATTGTTTTTGTAATTATGTTCTTTACAGAATATCATGGCACATTTAGTTAACTCTTATTCAATTTCACGCGTACTTTTTCGCTCTGTACATACACTTCTATGATATACATGTTTTAGAATAGCGAAATATTTATCAGTTTAGAGCAATACATGTAGTGATGATTTTATATTCGTATGTCATATGTTATAAAGTTCTTTCAGTACTCAGTAAGAAAATTGGGAGATGACGTAATATAATTATAAAACATCAGTTGAAGTACTGTCGAAGAAAATGTACTTTACTTTAATGTTATCATGCATTGTCCAGTTAAAGAGACTCAGTAAGTAGATATAATATGGAAATAGTTCTTCGCATAATTTAGGTTAAGGAACGAATAGACAACATTTAGGTATGAATTAATTTCTAGATCTTCTTAAAAATATATACAATAAATGTAACAGCTATCTTTTAGTTTTATTCATAAAGTCAACTTTTGCTTGTAAAAATTTAATATTAAAGAGTATAACACAAGGAGAGAAGTTATTTAAAACATTAGTATAGGTTCATCATTATATTTTTACTGGTTACAGTAAACAAAAATTGATTGATTCTTTAAAATAATTGATATAAAGCATATGATGAGTCATTATAAAGAATGAAGCAAATTATTCATTATACGGAAATTTGATAAAAAAGAATTCATCAAAAATAGATATGAAGAAAAACTATGTTTGATTCTATGTTATTAAAACAAAAATTTATATCGAAGTATTAAAAAAAATGGAAAGTCTTTACATTATAGTTACGAAAAAAGATATAATTATTATTATCATCTAGTAATATGATAATTAAAGAAATAATTCCTTTGGAATGGAAGATTTTAGAATCATAAGTATTCATAATATATCTAATACTACATTAGCTTTTTGGTGTTGATTGTATAACTCAGTAATCAATTAATATTGTTATCTTTAGCTATATCATTATAAAAGATTTCAATGAATTCTAACTGCGTATTAGCACCATCTACTTATTTTTATATGGAACGAATAAGATAAATAACGAATGGAACATCAAGTAACAAATCTAGTAACGAAACGACACATATCAAATATATATATATCAAGCAAAACAAGATAGATATTCTGGGTTTTTGGAGTTAAGAAATACAAAAATAAATCTTTAATTTTGTTTACATTATCAATATGTCATCTTCAAATATCCATGAGACAGTGAATTTTACATCATCTTTAGCAGAAACATCAACGCCTTTACCAAGTGTATTTGAATTATTAGCACAAGAACGTTTAACAGATTTGATTCGTCCTTGTCTACGACAAATTCTAAAATTTTTATATGAAATTCGTCCAGTTTCTAATCTATTTCGAATACTTTATAAATATAAAGATGAATTTATATTGCTTATTGAAAGTATTATTCAATGGCTCTATTTGCATTTCTATTCAGCTTTAATAGGCGAACATTTTTATGGATTAAAACGAACAGCAAATCATCGATTACGTTCATTAATTTTTTCTGTATTTTTACCCTATGTCAAATTAAAACTTGATTCATTACACGAACAAATGAACACAAATAACAACAATCGCAATGCAACATTTTATATCATTCTTAAACTTTTACCAAAAATTCAAGTAAATATTTTTTTCTCAATTTAAAATTCGAATTATTTAACTAATAGTTTTTTTCTTAATAAGATATTTATTGAAGGTGTTTGTTGGCTCTATCGAATAGGTTATGCATTTGGTCGAACTGAATATTATAGTCCAGCACTTCAATTAGCTGGCGTTAAATTAACTTATATCAAAGATCCATCACCTGTCATTCCACCAACGAATACGAGTGGCCGTTTTTTTGCTATAATCAGTCAAATAATGTCAAGTGGCTTATTTCTTATTCAATTTATTGATTGGTGGAATAATACAAATGGCTCATCAAAACAAACTTCGATTGGTACTACAAGTATTCCACCCTTACCTACTACTATTCCTACGCGACCAGCAATTGGTAAACGACAATGTCCTCTATGTCGACAACCATGTAATGTTCCAACAGCTGTAAGTGGTTCTGGTTATGTTTACTGTTATACATGTATAAGTAATTATGTCACACGTTATCATAAATGTCCAGCAACAAATCAATCGGTGACGAATGAACAATTAATTAAAATTTATTAAGATTGAAATTTTTCCAAAACAAAAAATTTTTTCTTGTGATTTTATAAGTATATTTTATTTCAGATTGTTTTGTTTTTCTTTTGTAGATTCATTTTAAAAATGTCTGATTCATTAATAAATATTGATACATCTGAACTGCTCATTACAACATTTCTCTATATTCTAGTTGTATTCATTATTATTCTACCACCTAGTGAACTTATAACAGCTGGATTTTCTATTCAAAATATATTTTCATATTTTCTTGTTGAAAATGAAGAAATAACATTTATACGATATCATATAAAACGTATTTCAGCGAAATGTTTTATTCATAGTTTACTTCCATTGGGTTATATATTTCTATTATTATATCATTGCAATTGGTCTTATGGAATAGTTAGTGCTTGTTATAGTCTTTTTACTGATACTCCTATTATTCTTCGATTTATTATATATATTTGTTTGCTTATCCCAATTGTAACATCATTAATTATTTTACAATGGCATTTAAATGATTGTTATCGACATCCAATTGTTCGACAATTACGTTTATTTATTCAACCAAATAATCAACAACAAGAACAAACATGGCATACAGTTGAATCATCGATAAATACTGAATTTCGACGATATGATAAATTTTCATGTGGTTCAGCAACATCAAATGTTCGTTGTTATGTACTTGATTCATGGATATTAAAATGTTCGATGTATCATGTTAATATAGCACAACAATCAACTGTACGTGTAGAATTAGATGATGCTCATGATATACATTTACAAGAAACAAATGAAGAAGTAACATTATCTACACAATATCTTAATATATTAATTAAAAGTAATGATCCAAGAATAAAAACATTTTATATCAGGTAAAATGAAATATGAGTGTAGAATCTAGTCAGACGAGTTGATAGATTAGCGTGAGTATGTTCTTAGTTTTCTCTTTCTTTGCATCTATTAACAATCAGAAATCTTCATAGAAATACAGATTTTCTATTTAACTTATATTCATTACATCTGTGAATATAATTACTAGTTGTTGAGTAAATCTATTGTATAGTTTATACTCGTTTTGCAGTTTCTCATATCTGTATGACATTAAAGTAATTCTATAAACTTGTCTATCCCAACAAAGTTTAGTTACTGTATTTACAATAGAGTATTATCGTAGTTTGACTAATCAATGTTGTATATATATTTTCCTTAGTAATTAGAGCACGCAAGTATATATGTATTCACCTTGGCTAAATGAAGCAAATTATTTTCTTCATTTCTAAAACATGAATACATATATTTAGATTGAAAGCTACTGAATACGATGATTTGCAAGGCAAACTTGAAGCAAATATTGAAAATGTAAAAAATATTGTCGTTCGTCAATCTCTGAGTGATCTGTTTTTGGATGATTTTCGTCGACTTATTGTACAAAATCCTAAATATCGATTACCATTAAATCAACAGGTACAGCAAACATTTATTTTCTCGTTAATTTATATCTAAATAATTTTGTTTTTTCAATTAAGGATTTGGATACATGTATTGGTTGTTTACAAACTAATGCTAATGTAAAATTAGTTAAAAATTGTGATGCATCGGATATTGGTCAATGTCGAACATGTTTTTGTCGTCCAATGTGGTGTCTTGAATGTTTAGGTAAATGGTTTGCTAGCCGACAAGATCAATCGCGACCAGATACATGGCTTCAATCAACATGTCCATGTCCATCATGTCGTTCTATTTTTTGTATACTTGATATTTCTATAATTGAATTTTAACTAATCGAAAGAATCTCGTAAATTGATTTTTTAATTTATAAATAAATGATATAAAGTGCTTATATTATATGAAATTTATAATAACAATTTACAAAGATTTTTATCATTAACTTCGTTTTTTGTTTCGTTTTGCTCTTGACCTTGTTTATTTATAGTAAATGTTAAACTACTTGCAAATCAAAATCTGTCATCATCAAATACATTAAAACGTCTATTCTTTTTTTATTGTATCAAGATATTTACCGTTTATGCTTTTTACATGATGATTGACATAATAATAGCTATAATAATAAAAATAATTGTCATCTATTCTTGAGCAAACATCGTTACAAGACTTTAAAATAGAAAGGAATTTAAAATAACACTAGCATATCGACCTGGAGCAAGCCGCCTTTCAAATCATTTCAATGGTGTGTGGGTGAAATGCATTTCTTACTAGACGGTTTCATTTTGACACAAATCAGTATATTATTAAAGAAGAAAAAGAAAGGATTGGAAAGAGTTTATTCTAGACGAGTTTTAATTATGCGAAGAAGAAGAAAAATTGAAGGAATACAAGAAAAAAAACTGGTTGCTATTGATAGTGTGGAATAGAAGAGTGACTGACGCATAGATCGTATGTAAATCAATGAGAAATAAACAATAGTTTCTTGTTTGATTATTAGAATAATGATTCTATTTGATCTTTTTTTTCTTCTTGTTATACTACCTTATTATTTGTCGTCATAAAAAAAAGTATATGTTATTCGGTGAGAGTTGATTACGAGGAGAAAAAAAAGAAAAATTCAATTTTTTTCTAGCTTCTATTTGTTATTTCGATGTGTAACTAAAACCACATATTTTTCTTTCAGCATCAATTATAAATTGTTATTGCCCGAAAACAAACAGTATATTTTCGAATATCATCGACGTAATTATGAGTACGGTATTAGGAAAGCGTGTTCAATCAGCTTATTCTCGACCATCGCATCGGTCAGAGATCACTGATCAAAATAATCTTACGAAACAACGTCCAAAGACTAGTAAAAATGCGCGTCAACCTTATACGAATGTATTCGCTCAAACTGAATTAAGAACATATAAATCATCAGCTCTTTCATCCGCGACAAGTCATCGTCGACGACCAACAACTGGTAGGAGTAGTGCAACAGTATCTACACGACCGGCATCTCGAAAACTTTGTTCCAGTGAAATTGAAAGTCTTTTACAAACTCTTGATCATGATGATACAGTTATTGTTCAACTGGATTGTTTAGCTAATTATCAAACACTTGTACAAACAATTGACTTACGAAAAACACCAATTGATTGTCAAGTGTTATGTGCTTTACAACAACGTGAAAATCGTATTGTTCAAGGAAATGCTTGTCGTGATACACGTTTTCAGTCATTAATTGAATTACTTCAACCTGCATATATTCTTGGAAGAATTGAAGAAGATGATTTAAATGATATTAATCCTAATATTATATTAGAACATCCACCGCACGATTTACCAATAGAATATGTTAAATAAACTTTTTTTCGTTAAATTATTTTCATTCAAACTATACATTTTGAATAAATAAATTCATATAAATGATTTTTATGCAATATCACAATGAGAATTAAAGTTATTATTGAAGATAAGTAATATATTGTAAAGTATGTTGAATTAAGCACAGAAATGAATAATTTAATTCATATGTTAATAATTTTATTAGTTTCGTAATCTCGATGAAATTTTGCTTACTAGTAGCTAACTGTTCATAAAAGTGAAGATCTGGAGAAAAATTTCTAAGCTAATTAAAGTCTTACTGAATATGTTAAAATAGTTTAAATCTATTCTGGACTCTTTAGTTGATAAGATCAGGAAACTAGCAGTCTGAAAGGAGATCAGTCACTGTTTAGAGAGGATAAATAAGAAATCTAATTTAATTATTTCAATTGTAAAAATAATCATAAAAAAGGAATGCCGTGACCCGGGATCGAACCAGGGACCTTCAGATCTTCAGTCTGACGCTCTCCCAACTGAGCTATCCCGGCGATACAGATCTATTTTTAGAAATAGTACAATCTGACGTACGCTTTTACTTCACAAGTAAATACAATTATACGCGTTTTCGTAGAGACACGAAAGATAGAAGTCTTTTTTTCTCAATGTTATGTTCGATTGCTGCTGACTGAAATAATTAAATCTGTATAAAAACTAAATTTGAACATTTAAAATAACTTAGAGAGATCCTTTTCAGATTGTATGTTTGATGAATTAAAACTATTGCTTTTATTTTATATTGGTCAAATGAGGAAATATCGCTGATTCTCATAAATAGTATTAATTTATGTTAGTTGTTTTGAACGAAATAGAATGATCGTGTGAATGTAAGATATTCTAATTTTATTTGTAACACTAAAATTAATTGTATATTTCACTTTTTGTCAAAAGATAAAACTGAACTAAATATAGTTCACTTAATTACCGCAATATTATCTTTCTAGATATTAAATGAATAGTTGTAATCTTTAGCTATAATACTATAACCCTTATAAAAACTAAAAGTAAACCTGTCTATCAGTGACATCTAATCCGACGTATTTTCAAACGAATACTGTTACTACCAAGAAGCGTTTTATGAATCATTGAATCAAGTACAAGAAAAAAAAAAGTTCTATACAAACAGAAAGGTTCGTCTTCGTTTTCGTTTTTCAGCTGTTTATTATCTTTTTTTAGGTTGCTTTATTTATAATCAACAATGATGATATTACATCGAATCTCTCTCCTTACTCGTTTTCATAGACGACTGATTATATCGACTCAAGCAATTCATATTGACTCTGATCCAAATGAAAAAATTATTCCCTTATCTAAGTTTGATTTAAGTAAACCATTAATTGGACGAACTAATGGTATGTATGAGAAGTTCATTGTTTATAAAACTATATCTCGATTTTTTAGCTGAACAAACTGCTATTTCATTACTTAGTCCCGATATGCCTGCTGATGCTGAACTTCTCAAAGTAGCTATTATTGGAACACCCAATGCTGGTAAAAGTACATTTGTAAATCGCCTCATGGGTTGGAGAGTAAGTTTAATTGTGCCATCGAAATATAAATAAAAGATAATTTTTTTTTCAAAATTTAGATTTCATCTGTATCTAAACGACCACATACAACCCGACATCGAACTACAGGAGTTTTAACTGATGCAAATAAACAAATTGTAAGAATTATTTTCAATTTAATAAATTCTATTTTTTCAATACAATAGGTTTTTCTCGATACACCTGGTTTTGTTGCACCATGGCGAAAAAAACGGTATATCCTACAAGTCAATTTCCAATGATTATTATCTATAAAAGTTGTTCTATCTTCAGACATAACCTTGAAAAATCTATGATTCTCGATCCTCACTCATGTCTATGGGATGCTAATCTAAGTATAAAACTAAATTCTTATTTTTATTTTATTAAAATGTTTTTTTCCTATAAAGTTTGTGTGGTACATGATGTTTCAAATCATTGGTTACGTTTTAAACTTGATGAAGAAATACTAAAATGTCTTTATGCACATCCTGATAAAGAAGCTATTCTTATTCTTAATAAAGTATTTTTGAATGATAATATTTAATTTAAACAAATAATTCGAATATTTATTTTTTTCTCAAGGTTGATTCTGTAAAACGTAAACGAATGTTATTAGATGTAACAACTGTACTTACAGATGGTTCACTTAATGGAATTCCCTATCGTCTCGATTCACCATATCATCGTAATGGTGAACTTGATATGGAACGTTTATTTCTAAAAACAGCTCATGAAATGAATATTCCATTACCAAAAAGCGAAAATGATTTAAAGAAAGAACATCTATTAGCTGATATGAAAGAATATGAAAAAAAATTACTAAATATTCAATTAGAAAATGTTAATCTTGATTTAGAAGAAAATCAAATTAAAGAATTAATATCTCAACATGAAGAAAAAGGATTAACATTAGAAAATCTTTCGGATGATGTGCCTTCTCATATTCCATATAAATCAATAAAAGATATTAGTCCAATAGAATTAAAAAAAGATTTAATGGAAACAACAAATTGGCATTTATATTATAAAAAATTATCTCAAATTCGTTTGTTTACACAAGATCGTTCAACATGGCCATATTTTAATCAAGTATTTATGATTTCAGCGAAACAAAATCGTGGTATAGCTGCTGTTCGAGTTAGTTCGACTAATCTGAATCAATACTGAATTAATTTAGTTTCCTTTTTTCTTCTAGAAATATCTTTTCTCACGAACAAAAGCAGCTCCATGGATGTTTCATCGAAATTTTGTTACTGATCAATATCCACAAGAAATAGCAGAATTATGTATACGTGAAAAGATGTTAGAATATTTGCCGGAAGAAATTCCATATAGTTATCTTATGGTAATTTTAAAATTAATATTTGAGAAGTCGTTTAAATCTTTATTTTAGACAAATGAACGATGGGAATTAGATGAGAATGATATTCTTAATATGACATTTCTAGTTTATCCTCGTGCTAAACAATTGAAACGTGATGTTGTATGTAGAATTATGTTTTTCTTTTAATTATTGAATAAATTCTTGTTTTTTAGAGTGTATTATTAAAAAATCATGGTGAAGCAATAAAATTAATTAGTACGGAAGCTGAAAAATCGCTTTCCACAACATTTCGTTGTGAAGTTAAATTGAAATTAATTGTTAAAACTACTCATGAATAAATTTCAATCTGTTACAAAAAAATGTAAATGAATATGTTCATTTGTATTTTGTTTTCTATGTTTTAGATGGCTGAAAAAGATATTGATATTTATTATAAAACTATTCTTGATCTTGTATCACTTGCTGGCAAAGTATGTTTATTTGATGAGAGATAAAATAAAAAAAGAAAATTTTTTTTTCAGGTTGTATGTGAAGGTTTTTCGATAACAAAACGTGTTGAAACAAAGGAGAATACAGCTGATCTTGTTACCGAATTCGATCAACGTGTGGAAGAGATTTTAATAAAAAAATTACAAGAGAAATTTCCAACACATAAGTTCGTAAAAATTGAAGAAAATATTTTTTTATTGATATTCAATTCAGATTTATTGGTGAAGAATCAACTGCTAATGGAATTAAAACAACCTTAAGTGACGATCCAACATGGATCATTGATCCAATTGATGGTACAACTAATTTTGTACATGGGTAACAGAATAAAATAATAATCATAACTTACAATTTTTTTGTATTTTTAATTAGATTTCCATTTGTTGCTATTTCTGTTGCGCTTGCAATTAATAAACAAGTTGTTCTTGGAGTAATCTATAATCCTGTTGTGGATTACCTTTATTCAGCTATACATGGCAAAGGAGCATTTAAAAATGGTCGACCTATCAAATGTTCGAAACAAACTGGTATATAGAATTATTCTGTTCTTAAAAACTAAAGAGCTGCCTTCTTTTTCTAAACATTTTTTTTAGTTAAAAAATAACCAAAGGTATATAGAGAATGAATATTTAGTTTTACATTGATTTTATTTATTAAAATAATTAATTTTTTATATTTTTATTATAGAACTTTCATTGTCACAAATAATTGGTGAATATGGTCCAACTCGGGACACTCATATTCTTGATATCAAATGTAAAAATTTACGAGTTATTATAGAAAAAGTTCATAGGTAAATATAGAAGAAAACATATGTAAATATTCATTTAAATTTTTATTTAGTATTCGTGCGATGGGTAGTGCAGCTTTGAATTTATGTTTAATAGCTGAAGGTTGTTGTGATGCTTATTTTGAATATGGAGTACATATTTGGGATTATGGTAAGAAAAATCTTAAATATGTTGTTTTTTGTTATCCGAAAATATGTTCTTGAATAGCTGCCGGTGATTTAATAGCTCGAGAAGCTGGTGCTTACACATGTGATCCGTCAGGTACGATATGATATAATTATTTATCATCTATATATTTTATTTTATTAGGTGCTCCATTAAATCTAGTTCATCGTCGTATTTTATGTGCTGCAACAAAAGAACTTGCTGAACAAATTTCACCATTACTAACTCATATTGATTATCCTCATGATTAAAATAAAAATTTTAAACAGGAATTAAATTAATTTTTATTTATTCTAGATGATAAAATCTTATTTTATTTTTGTTTTCATCAGTATTATTATTGGCGTCAGTGTTAGTGTTGACAATGACAAATGCGCAAGGGCGTCACTTATTGACTGTAAAACGTGTATAGCCGTAGACCCTGGGTGTGCCTATTGTAAAAACAACAAACGATGTTTTGCACATGATATTATATCAACAGAATGGCCATGTAAAGCATCGGAGTTACAGATTAAAACATGTTTTGGTAATTTGAATAAAATCATTTTATATTGTATTATATATCGAATAATATGATATTTTAGCTGATGCTCAAACATTACTTATTATTCTTGGTTCAGTTGGTGGTGTTGTTTTAATTGCTATTATAGTTATTATAGTGTGCCTTTGTAAACGATGCAAACGACGTGCAATTCGAAAGTTAGTTAATTAAAATGAATAAATTTCAAATTTTTTTACAAATATATTTTTTAGAGAAGAAAAGAGAGAAGGTGTATACAGTCAACGACTAGGCGACCGACGAGCTCAAGCTGAAGTTCGGTAAAAATTTAAGTATTATATTCATAATTATATATTTTTATAATTCAATAGATCAGCCGAAAGAAATGTAGTAGCTGATAATCTTCGAATGAAATATGGTATGTATATATTCTATTAAGATTTATTTGTCTATTATTTTCTTTATAGGTCTTTTGAAAGCAAAAGACGATGGTGCAGATTATAAACGTATGAGTTAATGATAAGAATGTTTCATGTGTGCTCTTACAAATGAACAAATATTATTTTATTCTGTGATTTTCATTTTTTTTAAGTAATTTTATGTCTTTCATTGTCCATGATATTTCTTTTTTGCAATATTTTTTTTATTGATTATCAGAACGCGATATAATAACCTCGATGAATAAATTTTGTTTTGAAATTTTTTATATATGAATAATAAATTAAAATTCTATGTTTGTTTTCATAAAAGATGATTCTTCCATCAATTCATTTCGCTGCTAAACAATGTCACAATCAGTGGCGCTCATCATTATTTCGTACAATTGTTGTTATTCATAAACGACAATTAGCAACATCAGGACAATCGAAAAAAAAGTCTAAAACACAAGAAAATGAGAGTCTTGTTCAATCGACAACAAATGATCAAATTGAAGTCGCGACTTTTAAAGAAAAAGGTAAAAGAATATTGTTTTTCCGAATACGTTTTGTATTAAAATTACTTCATCATAGCTCAACAGGCTGCAAAAGATACAGGTTATTCTATGATTGTTATCGCTGGTGTTGCAGCATTAGGTGGTTTATGTTATTTAATGTTACGTGAATTATATTCGAGAGAAACACCAAATGGAATTTATAAAGAAGCATCGAAAATGTGCTTAGCTAATACAGATGTAAATTATATTGAAAAAGTTATTTTTCGATTAATAATAATAATATATTTTATAGGTACAAGATGCATTAGGTACACCGATTATGGTTCATACAACACCTCAAATTGGTTCAATGCGTATTAATAATGTTCGGTAAAGATTGTTTAAAAAAATACGAATCGTATTCAATTCAGAATTTAACTAGACCTCCACTTGAAGCAAGTTCAAGTAGGAGAAAGGCGGCTGACTGCAGAAGTCTAACAACTCTCATAAACGCGGAAAGTTGAACCATTTAAAATTTTATTTTATTTTATTCTCAAAATCGATTAATTAAACTCAGATAAACAAGTCATCGAATAATTACTTTTCATATAGTAGACTCTATCATGATGAATTTAAGTCACAAAAAAACGATAATTAAAATGTATATGCATATAGTTTCTCATATGTCAATAGTCCTATAATACTGAGTCATACATAACCATATAAGGAAATCATCATGTGTTAATTAATGGTTTTTTTAAAATTATGTATCTCCCGCACGAAGCCGAATTTTAAAAAACGGTTTTCAGATGTGCACTCAGCACGTTCTCACAAATACGGCAAGCTTTTTTTCGGTTGAAAATGTTGCTTAGGTACTAAGAACGAGTGGCAGAATTGAATCGTGACTCATCTGTCGAGAACAAGAAGAAGAAGAATATCAAAAGCAACTAGACCTCCACTTGAAGCAAGTTCAAGTAGGAGAAAGGCGGCTGACTGCAGAAGTCTAACAACTCTCATAAACGCGGAAAGTTGAACCATTTAAAATTTTATTTTATTTTATTCTCAAAATCGATTAATTAAACTCAGATAAACAAGTCATCGAATAATTACTTTTCATAGACTAGACTCTATCATGATGAATTTAAGTCAAAGAAAAAACGATAATTAAAATGTATATGCATATAGTATCTTATATATCAATGGTCATATAATACTGAGTCATAGATAGCCGTATAAGGAAATCACCATGTGTTAATTAATTTTTTTTTGAAACTATGTATCTCCCGCACGGAATCGAATTTCAAAAAACGGTTTTTAGATGTGCACTCAGCACGTTCTCACGAATATGGTAGTTTTTTTCCGATTGAAAATGTCGCTTAGGTACTGAGAACGGCTGGCAGAATTGAATCGTGACTCATCTGTCGAGAAGGAGAAGAAGAAGAAGAAGAAGAAGAAGAAGAATATCAAAAGCAATAAGTCGACTGCTGCACATACGTGCAGTCAGCCGCCTTAATAAGTCGTCTGCTGCACATACGTGCAGTCAGCCGCCTTAATTAGCTAAAGACAAATGTAATGTGTATAGCAGAATACAAAGAAATAAAGAACTAGCTAGAATCTTTGTATGCTTGATTTATGTTGAATCTTTATTTATTATTATAGAGCAAAAATGTTTGATGAAAAAGGACATCGAAGTATGGCACTTTCTTTTTACTTAACTGGCAAAGAACGAACTGGTGTTGTTGGTGTTAAAGTTCAAAAAGTAATCTATTCATTTTTTCTTATTATATTGAATATTTTCATCTTTTCTTATTTCTTTTATAGAATATTTCTAATAAATTTGTCTATGATTATATTCTCGTTCAACTCGATCGACCATGGCGTGGTCGAAATATAATTCGAGTTCATCAAAATCTCGATACATCAAACACAACACCTCAAACAATCGATATTTAAACTTTTTCTGTAAACATAGTTATTTTTTAAAAATATATGTTTTTTTTCTCTGTTAATTGTCTTTAATAAGATGGTCGAATAGTAGTTACCATAGTTTTTTCTGTTCGAGCATCTTGATCAATATGACTATTATGTGGTATACTAAAATGATTATGTTTCTTCTTTTTATTTGAATGATGTCGATAATTAATAATTGGTATTGATGATTTTGAAGATGGAAGACAATATTTACGATAAGTAAATATAATAATAGCAAGAAGAATAATTGATAATGTTATTGCAACTAATGCATATAAAATATAAAGAACCAATGTAAAAAATGTTGATTGTGATGATAATAAATCTTCCGATGATGAGATAGAATCATTGAATTTCCAATGAAAACGAAAGAACGAACGAGCAAATACAGAAGAATTATTCATATTTAAATTCGTATAATTTGTCCATGATTCGGTTGTAATTGTTTGATATGTAGTAGTTGTTTGCACTAAAATATCAAATTTTAATCAATTTAAGTCATCGGTTTTGTTTTGCACATACTATTTGGGCAATTTTCAATGAGAATATCATCAATAGCAAACCAAGTTGTAGACGTAGTTCGATTATCTGGTAAATGTCGGATTTCAATTTCAATCTAAACGAAGTAAATTTTTAATAAATATGATTAGTTAGAATCAATATATATACGCGAAATTCTTCTGATGCTTGAAATGTAATATTTGCTTGTTGCCAAAGTGATTCAATTTCATCTGATAAATCGATATTCTTCTGTGTTAAAGCTTTCCATCGACCTATAGATGATATTTGTGTTCTATCTTTATTAATAAAAAAAATTTCAATTTGATCTTGTTCATTTTCAATACTAAATTGGAATGTTAAACGAATAATAAATAAACATGATGAAGTTAAATATAACCATGATGAGGTTACTATATCTGTAAAACCTTTTTCTTTATCTTCATTATTTGCATCAACCGCAATTAAAACTATAATTTATTGTAAATTTAATTTTTTTTTCTCCTCATTTCTATGAAAATACATCAGACCTTTATCATCTGTTTCTTCATCAAGATTTTTAATTTGCCATCGTCGACCAATATTCCAATTACAAGTACCCGAAGAAAATGTACAACGTTGATTATATTGTATAGATGAAACAAATATTAACATAAAATAAATCATATATAAAATAAAATCTAATAATAATAATAAATATATTTAAAAAGGAAAAATCTTACATATTTTCATTGCTATTGATAAAATAATCAAGTTTTTCGATGTACTAACAATTTAATTGAGCATACAATATGTTTTGTATATGTACATAATAAAATCGATCATGATCATCAACCGCTTGTTATTGACAAGTGGATCATACAATTAAATAATCTATTTATTTAATGACGTGATCATCGTTGCACTGCAACGGTAAAACGAAAAAAAAACACAAAGTAGATGATTTCTCGATTTGAATTAAATTTTTATACATCACATTATGTATATATTTCTTTCGGCAAAAGTAAAATAAATTAATCAAATAAACCTTCTTTAATATGTATGCATACAAATTTTGTTTTTCTATATATTTCAATTGGCCTATAAAGTTATTCATGCTTATAAATATAAGAACGATTTGTTTTTCGTTTTGCTAAATATTTGTATAATACCTTTCGTCACACTTCATTCAACATACATTTATTGCGAAGCCTATTTTTACTCAGTCGTTTATACTTGTTTTTGTCAAATGTGGAGAAATAGAAAATCTCGACCTCCCAAAGATTTAGATGCAAAAAGTTTGCACTTTTTTTTAATCTATATGATTATTTTTATTTATTCTCTACTGTAGAACTTGCCGCACTTGTCGATGCATCTCAAATTAGTGAACAAGGTAATATATATGTATGTTATTCATTGATATTTAAATACTGTGTTTGTTTTTTATTCGATTTTGACAGAAATTCGACGATGGCATACAGTATGTTATTTATATGAAATACTCGAGATAAATATTGTCTTGTATAGGATTTTCTCGATCATTATCCATCAGGTCTATTAGACAAAAAGGCATTTGTTGAATATTATCAAAAACTACATACAGATATAGGACCCGAAGGTTCATTTGAGTAAATCTATGGCTTTTATTCTTGTTAAATATTTTCTATTGTGAGAATATTTTAGAAAAATTTTTGAAATGATTGACGCTAATAATGATGGAACAATTGATTTTAATGAATTATTAGTGGTTATAGTATTAATGAGTCGTTTAAATGCTTTAGATTCACGACTTGCATTTGCATTTGATATGTTCGTTAATAATTTTTTATAATCTTCTGTTTTTTCGAATTATGAAATTTTTTTTAGGTATGATGCTTCGGGAGATGGACGTATCGATCGAGAAGAATTAGCTGATGTTATATCAGCAATAGTTAGTTGTATATTTAAATAAGATTACATATAATTTATTTAATATTTAGTATGATCATGCTGGTATAACTGATCGAAAAGGTGAACGAGATCCAAAGAAACGAGCAAAAGAAATTATTAGTCAACTTGATGATAGTGGTGATAATAAATTGAATAAAGAAGAATTTATTAAAGGGTATTATTTCTATTTATTTTAGTTTACTATTTATAAAATTGATTTTGTATTTTTTAGATGTAAAAATGATCCAGTAATTCGCGGTTTACTAACACCTAGTATATAAATATTTGACAATTTTTCATTTTCTTCTATTTACGATTATAATTATCCTTTTATCAATCTCACATAATAAAGTTTAACATTCAACATATGATTTCATCAATATGTGTAAATTAATGAAAAGATTTTTCTATGTTAAAATATAGAACCAATAGGTTTCATAGTTTAAAGACATTTTTCCAATTAAACGTTCGTAAAGTTCATTCCCATCAATCAATTTTTTCTTTTCTTTCAATTAAACGATAGTTTTTTTCTTTTCATATAAACATTCTCTATGGCAGCTTTCTTCCCGAAAACACTTTCAAAAATCAATTCAAAAAGAAAAAGCTTTCAACAGAACAAATTTGAGTAGTTATGATATTTTTTTTCTGTCATAAAAACACGTGTAAAATAAGTTAAGGTAATTTTTTGAAAAAAAAATTAATAAACTTTAATAGAATGATTATAATTTTTTTTCCTCTATTGTTAAGTAACATTTCTTTTTTTTTCATAAGTTATTTAGTTTGATAAATACTCTATTAATGAATACAATATATATAGTTGATGAAACCTTGTGAATACACCTATTGGCAAGGTATTGTTTGAAAAATATTTTTCGATTCAATATTTACCACATATTTGTATTCATGTTAGTAGAATTAAATGTATAACCAAACTAGATTTTGTGGGACATATCAACAGTTAAGTTTACGCAGATTAAAAGGAAAATTATACTATTCTGGCAATGGAAATTAAAAATTTGACATTTTTATATATACTTTTAAGTGTTATTTAATACGAATAAGTTAGAAAAGCATTTATGTGTTGTTAATCTCGATCACAATTTCTAAATATAGGATTCTTTTTTTATTTAAAACCAAAAACTCATCTAATTGACTCGGCAGAAAATTTACTAAAACTAGTTTTGAAAACTATTATTCTGATGACTTGTGATTTTACTAATATTAGTATAATTATATATTCTTCCTAAATGATATTGATATATTTAATCCAGCAATACTTCTAATACATTGCTGTGTTGTTAAATAATCTAGCAAGATCTTAAAAATCATAGTTTTCTATCGAATCATTTCATCGTTCATAATATTTTATATATTGTATTTATGCTTTTCAGTGTTTGAGTAATAACTATAAATGCATCGTTCGCATACAAACTTAGTTCCTGTTACCAATAAATATCTGGCACATAAAAAATTTGTTAAAGATCAAGAAGAACATAAACTAAATGTAAGATTTTCTTCTCTTTCGTTTTTTTTCTTTACAATTTATTTATTATTTTTAATAGCTTCAAAATATACATAGTTTATTAGATCATTCATCACCTACTCCTCGTCCACATTTAACTCAACGTGTTCGACAAAAACAGGTTAAAAATTTCATAAATCTATTCTATCTTCATTTTGATTTATAGAATCGAGAATATGAATTAGAAATAATTCACAATGAAAATGATCGTCTTCGCACAAGAATGATGCGAAATGGAGCATTTACTAATTCTCATAATAATTATGTAACACGCAGGTACGTATAAATATTGGAATCGATTCATTTTTTTGATTTAATTTATTTCATTAGTTTAAATATAAAAGAACGAAATCGTGAAGAATCACAACATAAAAATACATATGAGCGGCTTCAAAAACAAATTCATCACGTTAAATCAACTTACTCAATACGAAAATCTCAAAATGATTATGCTAAACAACAAGATTTTAAACGACAAATAACTCGATTTCCACCTATAAAAAAATAAATATTTTTACATTATTATGTACTTATAATTCATTTAATTATGAAAAATAAAATTTTATTAAAACTTTTCAGTTTTTTTCCACAATTGTGTAATAACATTGTCGTTATTCATCTTTTGTCATAGATTACATAAAATAAAAACAAAAATATGACTTTTGTTATCTATCCCGATAACAAATTTTATACAAAAGGATGCAGAAAAATAGCAACGGCAGCTAACATAAACTATTGAAACATGTCTTACGATAAACAGCCACCACCATATCCACCTTATGGAGGTCCATCTTATCCACCTTACGCAGGTCCGTCTCATCCACCTTACGCAGGTCAGTCTTATCCAGCTTATGGAGCTCCGGCTTATTCAACTCCTGTTGCTGTTGCTAATCCTTTTGTGGGACAAGCAGGACCTAATGTCGGGATTATAAGAGATTATTTAGCTTGGTCTATTATAAATTTGTGTTGTGGTTGGGGTTTTCTTGGATTTATACCATTAGTGTTTTCAATTCTATGTCGAAACAGTAAAAGTGTGAATAATTATAATCAAGCACGAACAATGAGTACATGTGCATTAGTATCAAATATTATAGTTACTATAGGAGGAGTTATTGGATGGATTACATTTATTATTTTTATGGGACTTTACATAGGTGCTGCTTCTCATTTCAGTTATAATTAAAATTACAAGATTGAATAATTTAAGTTTAAATATACATTTTGTGTTTATTTATTTCTTTGTTTTTTTTATTTTCAATCATTTGAGTTATGTAGAAGCTATTGATAAATATATATTCATTCGATTGCAAGCTACAAGGTTTGCTTCTTGGTTTACAAATATTTTGTTTTCACGAATTTGAAGAAAAATGTTTTGAGATATTAATATCATGAGTAAAAAATACTTGATTTTTCATAAAATTTATTTAGTCATAATATCACAGATCGATGATTCTTGAAGCAGCATTCCTGTGAAAATCCTCAGGAAACTCACCATTCCCGGCAGGAATCTTACCAGTTTAAATACTGTAACAATTGTAGATTGAAATAAAAACGATGTATATTTCATTTTGTTTTTGTTAGAATATAATGTCAATAATTTTCAATCTTCATTTCAATAATGAAAGATTGATAACTATTTATCCCAGGTTTTGCTCAAAAAAAAATTATATAAAAATCAAATTAGTAAATTTTATTAAACATTTAAATTTCTTTCATTTGCAATAGATTTTAATAAACCATATCAATTCAGACGGTTCGAATTCATATATTTGTTTATAATTATTACCGTCAAATACAAATTTGAATTGAAAAAAATCTTTTGTGTGTTCATTTAATTATGAAATTTCAATAAATAAAGTAGAAAATATTCTGGTAATTATGGTATTGTTTTTTTTCGCATCGTAGATAGAGACTAATTCAAATTGATTAGAACATGTTAGAATCGAATTTTTCTTTAATCTTTATCCCTACGATATGTCGAGTAGCGGTGTAATCAGGAGTAGGTGCTGCCAGATCACCGCTAGTCGTTGTATGGGTACCGGGAGAAGCAAAAACTAGTAATTACCATCATCTACATTATTTTTTATGAATTTTTCTCAAGGATCATAAAGTACTGATCGGATACTTGCGATTATCCTATCGTCAATTCAACGATACTATGTTCTATTATAATGACAAATAGGTATATTCTCCAAACTTCTTTTATATTTTCGATTTTTATACAAAAATTGATGATGACTTGAATAAATGTAAACGCTTGTTTAATTGATTTAAATTATGAATTAAAAGCCTACTTTTCGCATACTTATAAAGAAATAATATTATTTACTTTATTACTAAACAAAATAGTTCGTGTCCACTTGCTAAGATTATAAACAAGAAGCATGAAACATATTTATGAATCCCTTCGTATATATTCAGTATTTAATAGAGTGAACGTGTGCGTATGACTGAAGAGAAAAAATAAGGGGTCAAACAGACGGAAAATTTAAGACTGAATTAACCCTTTCAGGGCCAGTGGTACATATATGTACCACTATTTTGTTTTTGGTCATAAAACTACAACAAATTAGAAGAAACGTTCAAAAAATAGGTCAGATCGATGCAGTTCTTTACGATGAATCTAAATATGTCATTTTTATAACTCCGAAGTAAAAAAACCTTTAAAATTGGAAAACCCATTAAAAAATGATTTTTTTAAAACATTTTTCAAGAAAATGGATCATTCAGCCCTCTGGAAAAACACTGAAAACTTTCGCCAAAATATAAAACCGGTATATTCTTAAGCAGCTCGACGAACTCTGTCGAACCATGTATAAATAAATGAAAAAACATTTGCTGCGCTTTTGCATTTCCGGCACCTTACTCATCTTGTTAAACATTGATATGCAGTACGAAAAATATTTTATTATAATTGATCTGACCCTGGCGCAAGATAATTTGTGTCCGAATCTATCTGACAACCAGGGGTGTCCCGTGGTTCAAAACATTCGGGGAGCCGTCGATGAAATTTGCGAGATTTCCTGAAAAGTTTTAAAAATATTTCAAGCATTTTCGGAATTTTTTCCGAAGTTTAAAAAAAATCGCGGTGTTTTTTGCAAATGTTTTCATAAATTCGAAGATAATTTATATAACTTTCCGAAAATGTTCATAAGCTGACGAACGGATAAGAAAACAAAGAAAGAAAGAACATTGATCGGCTATCTACAGCCAATGAGGTGAAACGGTCAAGAAAGAAAGGAATACAAGATCAAAGAAAACTGAAAGAATGAGAAATGAACGATGTGTATGTACATGCACGTTTATTGGTGATAGATACTCGATCATTGTTCTTTCTCTCTTCGTGTTCTTGTTCGTTCGTTATTATTTCATATTCATTCTATTAAATAACGCACCAGCGAGTAGTCGTTCCGTCACACCTTCTCCTAAATCATCACGAAAAACTTATTCTGCTCTCCACTCTTACAAATACATCTATTCTATTAAATCAAAAATATATACGAAGAAATGCATAAACTTGCTCTATACTTCTTTCTCATAATTCAAATCACAAATAGTCAAGGATGGGACCAAAATGGCTACCTTAAGCGAGGACTTCAATCGAATAAAGCACAGATGATCGACACAGGCGATCAGGATCTTTTTGTACTACGTCGTGCTCGTTCAAATCATGAAATAAGTAAGTGGTTTTTCCTTTCTAAACGTTTCCTATACACATCATCTATTGTAATTATATTATTGGACGAGAGAGAATGCACGATTTTCACAATAGAAAATTGATATACAAAGATGAATACATTCTTGAGCTTTAGATGGATCTCTCCTTTTTCAGTTGATAAATGACGATGTCAACATCGAAAATGAAAAAAGACATGTTTTTTTAAACCTGTCAGTAACATATCGTTTGTGCTTTAGTAAAAGTAGACAGAGGTTACTGGCAAAAATTCGTCGACGAATACCTCGTTGGCACTGGCGCAGTTTCGCAGGGGGCTATTATTGGTCGTGATGGGAACATTTGGGCTATATCTCCTGGCTTCGAGCTGAAGTAAATATCCATATAATTGCTTATTCTTTTTATCCATGTGCTTTTTTATTGTTTAGAGATGGTGAAGGTAAACAAATTGTTGCTAACTTCAAAGATACGTCAAATGTCTCCGAAACTGGTGTCACTGTCGGTGGCATCGAATATGTTGCTACCAAGGTAAGATTTTTCTTTATTTTTTCAGATGTCTTGCAGTAGAAAGACATGAGAATGATACTTTACTATCTTTTTGTTACATCTACGAATCTTTATTCAGGCTGAGAACGGTTCCATATATGGGGAAAAGGATGCTACCGGCGTGATTTTGGTTCAAACAACACATGCCGTTGTCATCGGACTCTACGGTGAGAAACAACAACCTGGCAATGCTACTGCAGTTACAGAGAAACTGGCCCAATATCTAATTGAAAATGGCCATTAATGTTATAGTTGAATTAAGAGAACAATCGGCCAAGATTTCAAAGACTGATAAACAATCTCTTTTCATTATGTAGAACTCATCCGCATTAGCTTTCTTTTTTTTTCATTGTTTGTCGTTTTTTTCATTTCAATTGTACATTGATACAGATCGGTTAGCAATAAATCTAGCGTAATTCTCTCTCTCTCTCTTCCTTTTTTTCTTTTCGATTGATAAAAGATGAAAACCAGCTACTATTAAATTCTTTAATTTTTTTCCATATATTCATATTGTCGTTTTCTTTTAAATAAACATAAACGACATTATGTATCAACAATTGTAGATCTTTTTTTTCGATAACGACGTTATTTAGAGATAAAATACCTACTGTATACAAAAACAATATCAGATGTTCAAACTTTTCATATGAATGACTATCGCTCATTTAGAACTTTGATGAAAGAAATACCTTACTTGAAATTTTTCCTTGTACACGGTACAGTATTCAATGACACACATTCTGTATGAGGTAATGGCGTAATCAGGAGTGGGCGCTGCCAGATCACCGCTAGTCGTTGCCTGGGCACTGGGAGAGGAAAAAACTAATAATTACTATAGTTTACATTATTTTTTATGCGTTCTTCTCGAAGATTATAGGGTACTGCCCGGACACTCGAGATTTTCCTATCGTCACCTATCATTACAAAATCTATTAGTTTGAATTAAGTTTACAATTTACTCTAATTCAACGATACTATGTTCTATTATAACGACAAATAGGTATATATTCAAAAATTCTTTTATATTTTCGATTTTTATGCAACAATTGATGATGAATTGAATATATGTGAAAGCTCTTGTATAATTGATTTAAATTTTGAATTAAAATTCTACTTTTCCGCACACTCATAAAGAAATAATATTATTTATTTTATTCTTAAACAAAATAGTACATGTTGACTTGCTATGATTACAAGCAAGAAGCATAGAACATACGTATGTACCCCTTCGTACATATTTAGTATTTAATAGAGTAAACGTGTGTGTATGACTGAAGAGAAAAAATAAGCTTATTTTTATCATATAGGAGAAGACATTTAGCCATGATGTATAATTGACAAATATTATGTCTTTTTTTTTTCTAAAATGTATTTGTCTCTTTATGAATATATGTCCAATAAAGAAATGAAAAATATAATATGTAAGACATGAAGAAATCTTGAAAGTGACTGATGTCTTTTTTCTTGTTATTAAGTACAAGGGAGATAGGGAGAAGGTAGATTGATCAAAGATTTGACATATTCACAAAGAGGCAGGTATGTTATAGAAAACATGAAAAAAGCATATTGCTCGTCAATTGTATAACACGGCTCAGTGCTTTCTCTTATGTGATAATAAAAAACTTATTTTTTTCTTCACTCATACACATATATCTACGGTATTAACTAAAAAAAATATACGAAGAAATGCGTAAACTTGTTCTATACCTCTTCCTCATGGTTCAAATCACAAGTATTCAAGGATGGAACTACGATGGCTACTTCAAACGAAGACTTCAGTCGAAGAGAACCCAGATGATCAACACAAACGACCAGGATGTTTTCGAAGAACTTCGTGCTCTTTTGAATCATTATCAAAGTGAGTTGTTTTTCCTTCCTGAATTTTTCCTATACGCATCATCTAGTATGATTATATCATTGGAAGAGAAAGAATTCTTGATTTTCACAATAGGAAAATGATATATAAGCATAAAGACATGTTTTTCTAAACATCTCAGTGATACATCGTTTGTTCTTTATTATCACTAGGAGGAAACGCTTGGCAACCATACGTCGATCAAAGCCTCGTTGGTACTGGCCAAGTTTCGCAGGCGGCCATTATTGGTCAGGATGGGAGTGTTTGGGCTATATCTCCTGGCTTTCAGCTGAAGTAAATATCCATATAATTGTTTATTCTTTTTATCTATGTGCTTTTTTATTGTTTAGAAATGGTGAGGGTAACAAAATTGTTAATTTCTTCAAAGATCCGTCGGGGACCTCTGCATCTGGTATGACTATCGCCGGCAAGAAATATTTTACTCTCAGGGTGAGGTTTTTCTTTATTTTATTAAATGTCTTACAACAGAAAGACATGAAAATGATACTTTGTTTTATTTTTGTTACATTTATTAATCTTTATTCAGGCTGATGATCGTTCCATCTATGGAAAAAAGGCTCTCGGCAGTGGCGGTGTGATTTTAGTTAAAACATCAAAAACCGTCATCATCGGGCTCTATGAAGAGGGACAACAACCAGGCAATGCTGCTGCAGTTGTGGAGGGAGTGGCCGACTACTTGATAAATAATGGCTATTGATGTTATAGTTGAATTAAGAGAAAAATCAACCAAGATTTCAAAGACTCATAAACAATCTCTTTCCATTATGTAGAACTCATCCGCATTAGCTTTCTTTTTTTTCATTTTTTGTCGTTTTTTCATTTCAATTGTGTATCGATAGAGATCCGCTAGTACAAAATCCAGCGTAACTCTGTCTCTCTCCTTTTTTTTCTTTTTAGTTGGTACGAGATGAAAACCAGCTACTATTAAATTCTTTAATTTTTTTTTCATATATTTATATTGATATTTTTTTTTCAATAAACATAAACGACATTATATATCAACAGTGGTGGATCTTTTGTTTCAATACCGACGTTATTTAGAGATAAAATACCTACTGTATACAAAAACAATATCAGATGTTCAAACTTTTCATACGAATGGCTAGCGCTCATTCAGACCTTTAATGAAAGAAGTACTTTCCTTGAAATTTTTCCTTATGGAATGTATACTATTAAATGATATACATTCTGCTTGCAGTGAAGGCGTAATCAGAGATGGGTGCCACCGAGTCACCCGTGATTTTCTGGTTACACTACTAGTGGCTAGTTTTAATTTTACTCTGTATTCTTTCTATTAATAAAGTTTAATAAAAATAAATTTTCCTTAGCTCGATTCATTTTTTTAAAATTATAACAAGACTATTTTGCAAATATAAAAAGACGCAAACAATTTTGATGATTATATTATAAAATGAAATAAAAATATGTTTATTGTAAGTTGATTGACTTTTAACCTCTATACTTAATTTACAAACATTGATAATTAATTAGCTGTAAATGAGAATCGATATAGAATTTCTAATTGTACCTCATAATATTCGTCCATACAGTTTCATGCGTACTATATAGCATTTTTGTAGTATAACATTTCGTTAGAAAATCTAATACACTACTTTCAATAAGTAAGTTTTTTAGTAGTCTACGAATAATGTCATTTCTTGTGGAAGCTTTTATTATTTTAACTAAATATATCTCGTTATTAATCAGTTTATATTTGATTGGTTTACTAAACAAATCAAAGTTCGTTTGCTAACACGAGTTTTCGTTACTAAATAATGCTTGCTTAATTTCAATACCATTCGAATTCTTTGCTGTCAAGTTAATGAAAATGTAAGATGAGTGAAAAAATGAGATTTCTATCTCAAATATTTTTATTAATTTGTTAAATTATTAGTTACTTTTCTTCTGCAAATAAGATCAGACGTTATTTTAATTCTATCATAATGAATATAAATGACAAAGTTAAAGTAGTTAAAAAAAAACTTTGTTTTTCAAATAGAATAGATTACGAAATTTTTTAGATGAGTCATTTTTGATTTCTCTTAATTAAATAATAAATAACCAAGGTGAATATATTTATTGCTGTTAATATTGTTCTACAGAACAGAAATTAAATATTTTGAATACCACTAGTATTCTATCGATCAGAGTGATATTATGAAAACAAGAAAAAAACGTCTATTAATAGATCATAAACTCAAGTCAATCAGACACCATATAAGCAGTAGTTAGTGATATAAAACTTTAATCAATAGCTTTAAGGCTATTTCTCATTTGAATAACTGCAACTATTCAACAACATTTTTTTTATGATTTTATCGCACAATCTAATTCTTCATTTACAGTATATATACTGTACATAAGATATGCACAAAATCTCAAAGAAAATATTATATTATAATAAAAATTCTTGATTCAATACTTCAAATTTTAATCTTCATAATAAATCTTAAAAAATATTTAATATCAATACTCTATCAAATTAGCAAGAACATTTCTCACAATCAGTTCGCTATAGAAACGTTGCAAAAACTTTGATCTTGTAATGTGCAAAAAAAACAAAGTTAACATTCTTATACTTCGAAATCCTATTTTCACTTATCAATCTATTTGCAAAAGAATATAATACTGTTATCAAACATAAATATTCATTGTTATAAACCATTAAATCTTTATCTCTCTCTCTCAATCATAGTTATAAGTATATATGCACACATCTCGTGATAAATTCTTCTTTTATGATGATCAAATATGTTATTCTCTCAGGTTTTTTTTCTCTTCTTTTTAACGATCTTTAAATACTCTATGTAATATCCATTGTTAATAACAACAATTACATATGGCATCTACTATACTATCATCTGCATCATATCTTAATTATTTAAATGATTATATTAATATCATATTGAATTATACTGATCAAAATTTAATTGAAAATTTAAATAAATCTTATTTTGATGAAATCGAAACTTATGCACGTTCGATACTTACTCAATGGCATAGTGAAGAATCAATTGATAAACAAGCATTATTATATATTGAAAATGTTGGATATCTTAATCGTAAAATTGCTTCACTAACAAAAACATATTCACTTAATGAAAAACAATTCGAACGTATTGAAGATTTACTTTGTAATTCAGAAATTATTCAATTAATAATATCAATAATTGAATCATTATTAATAACAAATGTACGACATAAAGATAATTTTCTTCGTTATTTATCAATATTAATTGATTCTTTTTCTTCCATGAAATATTCAAAATCAATTTTTAATGAAATAACTCAACAAGTTATAGAATCAAAATATTATAAACAATATTTAATTGAATTAATTTCATCATCAGATATTCAATCTGTACATCTATTTTTTATTGGTGCTATTAGCCAACTTGCTTCACCTATTCAAAATCTAACAATTAATGAACTTTATTCAAAATTTCTTACAACATTTTATAATGAAAAATATTTTCCAAATAACATTGATTTACATTATTGTACATTAGGTATACTTTCACAATTACAAATATCATTTTTAATCAATGATTATTCATGTATATCAACATTAATATCTATATTTATTCATGTATCAACAGAATATAATAAAAGATTTCTTTTACCAATTTTAAATCTATTTAATCGTCTTTGTATACAATCAAAAACAGTTGCTTGTTATTTAAATACTGATGAATTAATTGATATACTTCTTCAATATGTAACAAATCAACAGGATTATCAAATACATATTCAAACTTGTCTCTTACTTGGACATATAATTAGTGAAAAACAAATAATTCAATTTCGAATTAATTATAAATTAACAATGAAATTAATTAATTTATTGCAATATCATAAACA